TGCGTGTGTGTGTGTGTTGGTGGTGGTGGTGGTGGTGGGTTTTTTTGTGGCTAGTGAAAAAAAAGAGGTTCACCACAGCTTCAGAATTAAAAGGAGCTTGCTAACTTTGGACTAGGAGTTCTCCCTGTGTGACACCATGAGTGCGGGAATAAAAAGAAAACCGAAGAGGCTATCCCAGATGGGCAGTTGGTATGTATGCTATTGGACAGGGCAAGATGATAACAGGAAAAGGAAGATCTTGTCACTCTCAAGGACCAGGAAAGTTAGAAAAGGAATGAGCCAGAGATCTGAGGTAGTTTCCAGTTTTGAGCACAGAGTGTGCACTCAAAAATGTTTGTTCAGCATGACAGAATATGGGATAGAGAAATTGACAAGGATACTTTGGAAGTGTGGACAGTTCCATGGAGAGGTGAAAACAGGGGAATACAGCCATGGTTACCTGGAGCAGAATGGGATCACATGTGGGATGTGAAAATGGAACTCTATAAGGAACCACAGGAAGGGATTGAGGGGTGCTAAAGAGGGGGTGAGGACAGGCTGCAAGCATAGCAGAAAGCTTTTATAGAGAGAATCAGTTGTTGTGTGGAGTTAAAAAAATTAACTACACACATACACGTGCACACACACACGTGCGGGCGTAGCGCGCGCGCGCGCACACACACACACACAGAGTTTTAACAAAGGATAGCAGGAATAGAGAAAAGGGCAGTAAATAACCAAGTAACCCAAACCAACATTTGGGCCCCCCAAAGTAATCAAAGCAAAGCCCCAATAATGTAACAGGTAGTATGTTTCAAACTTTGACCTGGTGCCAAGTGAACCACCTATATAGTAACAACCTGATAGTGGGGCATTTTGCGAATGCTAAATACACTGTAAAAATTCCAAGAATAATACTTAAATTTTACTCTTGAGGAGTCAGTTATGTGTTATTCTTGGGATTCTTACAAATGCTGTGTGTCAAAATGAAAATTCCATGGTCAACTTTCCATATCTGCCCCCAGAAAAGTGTTTTGGGGGCTACTTTGCTGAAACCACATGACTGTATCCCCTGGTAGGTTAATGTATGAGTGGGGAAGTATGGGGGATATTGATTATACTCCTAATTAGCTCTGCTCACTTATTACATATCCAAGCCACTTTGTGTTTATCTTTTAGGCCAGTGGAAGATATTCACCGAAGGAGAAGCTCAGATCAGCCAGATGTGTTCAAGTCGTGTGTGCAGAACAGAGCTTGAAGATTTGGTCAAGGTTTTGTACCTGGAAAGGTCTGAAAAGGGCCACTGTTAGACGAGACAGCATTGGATAGGGTAAAGCAAGAAAACTCAAGCTGCAGCTGGACTGCAGGCTTATTTTGCTTAAGTCAACAGTGCTCTAAAATACAAACTCAAATGCAGTTAATTATTCACGCTATGCACAGCATAACTTGCTCCTTTATGTGGAGTGGTGTGTCACCCCTTAACCATCTTCTCCAAAGAGATTGGAAGAGTCTTGAATTATTTGTAGGAAGAAGAGAGATGGAACACCATAACTCTGTTCTAGTTTCTTGGAGAATTACATTTCTTTACAGGTTAAAGAGTAAACAAAACCCTAGGGTTTCTAGCTAGAAAGTTATTCAATGAAAGAAAGAGAAAGGAATCACTTCTTAGTAGGGGTTCTGTAATACAGATAAAAATATTTGTATGAAAGAATGTCTTGTGTGTTTTTAAAAAATTAACCACACACACACACACACACACACACACACACACACACACACACACACTCTAAACTACAGCCTTCATTATGAGGCAACACCAGCATAGACTCTCTCCTCCTTTTCTTGAACTGGCTTCCAAGTAGCTTGGCAGTTGTTAGAACCCAGAAGGATAAATAAGGAACTGTGAGCAGAAGGCTATGCCCTTGGGCCTATGGTAAGTTTTTTGAAGTCACCAACTATGGTAGCAGGTTGCAAAATAAGAATACCATGTCATGGCTGCATGCACTTCGAAGTGGTAAATAACTTTTCCCTAATGATACCACTTCCCTTTTCTCCCTGAATGTACTGGGCCTTCATGAAGAAGTTGGAATTGGGTACCCTTTTCAGAAACTGAATCCATATAAGATAAGTAATTGTTGAATAAAGGAGTTGACGCCTCTTTGTGTTTTCAAGTCAGTAAAACTCACCAAATAATAGTGCAATACTCACTAATTTTCCTGAGACCATAGTTCTCTAATTCAAAAATGTAGGTGAAATTATTAAATCCTAGAAGCTCCTTGAAAAGGCAGTTTCTATTATCCAATTACAGTTGATTTTTACTTTACAAAGGGTCTCAGTCTTCATGAGCTTCTGAGTGTCAGCTCTTTAGTTAGGAGGATTATTGCTGATTTGGGGAGATGGTAATTCTAAACAGATCTTTTCCTAAATCTTCCTGCCATTCTAATCTCAGCCATCAAGCATGGATTTGAATCATGAATCCTAGAGAAGGCTAGTCCAAAAATGTCTATTTGCAGCCCAATACAAGAGCATAAGTTATCCATTCTGAGGCCTGGCTTTAGAAATTATTTTTGTGGGAAAACTATAAATTCTCTATAGCAAGGATGTCAAGCCTGCCTTTTAGATTTATCTCCTCTGAAGAGCATGAATGAATTCTAGTGAGTATTTAAAAATATTAAGGACTCAGAAATCCAATATTTCTTATTATATAATCATAGGTGAGAGCAACATTTTTTCTTAGAATGTTTGACACCAATAGGGACAAATGAAAAAAATGTTCAGTCTGTATGGCAACTTGCACTAGGAGTCTGTTTTCATAAAAGAGCATAAAAGAGCACGAGGCAGGTGTTTCATGGCCAGACAGCCCCTTACACACATTCTCCTCAGGAAAGGGAGGTAACACATCAGGGCTGGGAGGTAACACATCAGGGCTGAAAGGCATGGAGCCTTATTGGAGAGAGGTTGTTAAATTGCTGCTGTCTCCCTCCCAGAGGTGGCAGTATTTCCATGGTGTGGAAAGAAGTAACTGATCCTGAAGCAAAGTGGTGATTTCCCCTTCTTGATGATTCACCCCAAAGCCTTCCCACCCAGGTGTTCTCTGAAAGCTCAACCTTCAGAGAACACCCAGAGAGTTTCCCTAGATAGATTCCTACCCCCAGGTGATAGGACACACCTTTACAAAATGCTGTGTGAAGTGGGAACTAGGGAACTGTGCTGGGCCAACATAGAAACCCTCCAGTGTTTGATGTTGTGTAGGGAGTAGGACATAGGAAGAAGAGGCCAAATGCCTGTAGTTAGTAGATAGGAATGGATGTGGTTCTTCTTTTGTATTTATTTGTATTATAAACACTTGGAACAACAAAGACCATAAGTACTATTTAGCAGTTGTAGTCATTTTATAGTTAACTCATGTAAACAATTAAGAGTAACATAACAGTATTATCCTTTGACTCTTCCCACAGGACATGTACCTAAATATGGTACTTATTTTATGTAGTCACTGTATTTCTGGATTTTTAAATTAATAAAATGTTAATTTTGAAAAATCGTGTGTGATAATGCTGTGTAAGTGATTGACTCTCTGGACAATGCTGATTTTAGACTGGGTAACAGGTGATGGGTAGGTAAGCCAGGCTGTTTCTCATTCAGGTTCACACACACACACACACACACACACACACACACACACACACACACTATATCATAATGGCTAAGAGAAGGAACTTTGTAATCAGACTACCTGAATTTTTAATCCCAGCTCTGCACTTACCAGCTGTGTTTGTCAATTTCCCCAACTATAAAATTGGGGTTAATAGTGGTACCATTCCCTTTTGCCTGCAATCTTACAGTGAGGGTTAGTTTAGTTAATGCATGTAAAGTTAATAGAACGGTGTCTGGTGCACAGTGAATGTTCATTTTTGACCATGGATGTTCAAAATGGCATGGCACTGAAAATGGCCATTGATTTCTGGCTTCCCTTTAGGCCAAGACATTTAAGAGACTGGGGACAGAAGGCCATTGACTTGGATTTCAAGAGGGCCTCAATTTTAGGCTGCTCCTCAGTGGTAGATTTGTATAGGGAGCAGGGTAAGAGTTTTGTCACATATGTTGATCCAAACTCTATTCCCTCAAACCCCTAATACCAACCAGAAGCCAAGATATAAAAAAGGTGAAATGTCAGATAACATAAGGACAGTAAAATATGCATTGGTGTTAGCAACACAGAAGTCATTAGTGGTGGAACATTGGGGCAGTGTAGAATAGCTATGGTACATCTTACAATAATTTTTATCTATGAGAGAAAGAGAGAGGGAGAGGGAGAGGGAGAAGGAGAGAGAGAGAGAGAGAGAGAGAGAGAGAGAGAGAGAGAGAGAGAGAATAATTAGACTCCAACATGGTGTATATGGTGCCTTCACAAAATGGACAATACAAGAGAATTGGGGCCTGGATTCAAGGCAATGTAGATAAGAGGAGCTCTGAGTTGCCTCCAAGTATAAGCAATCCCTGATCTAGGAATGAAGTATTGGCCAAATATTTAGAATCGAGCATGCATTTTCTTATGGAAACATCATTCTATCTGATGCTCAGATTCCCAGTCTAAGTTATATATAGTGTTAATCACTACCTTCTTAAACTCGGATCTGGGGGCAAGAGCAGGGTGTGAGGAGAAAGGAGTGAGCAGTGAGTTTCCTTTCACTTTTCTGGGTGGGGTGGCGTGGGTGGGAGGGGATCAGGAGCAGGCTCTTGGCAAAACGTCAAAGAAGACAAAGTTTGAACTTGACAGCTTCCTCTCTCCATTTCATCATGCACTCTTCTGGTCCCTAGTACTGTCATTACACCCTTTACATCCAGCTATTCCAGACCCAGGCCTGCCTTGCTCCACAAAGAACCTCAGACTCTGCCGTTAATGACCTCACTCAACAATCAGAAACTGAATCCCTTCAGGGCAGCTGTCTGGGGCTTAGAAGGAAGCAAGTTTAGTGAAGTAAATGAGAGTTGCTTAACCCTCAGATACCTTTTCACATTTAAACACTTTATTACTCTTTATTACCCTCAAAATGAATTCCCCAGTTGCAAAATTACAGGCAGAGGACTGGAGTGAGTGAAAACCTTCTGACAAGGAAGGCAATAGGAGGGAATTGTGCATATGTTGGGGTGGGGGTGGAGTTTGATATTTGTGGGGATGGGGAAAGTAGGCTGCACAAACTAAGCAAGCCATACCTACCTTTCCTGCCTAAGTATCTGCAGTCCCTACCTCCACAACTCATAAATAGCGCTAATGTCCTGCTTTGCCATTCCTGCTTTTCCAGGTTCCTCCTTCTTTTATGTCTGAACCTGGTACTTATCTAAAATGTCCAGGTTTGGGTTTGTTTATAGTAGGAACTAGCAGCTCTGATGACAACAGAGGCCTTGTGAAGGGGGTGAGGCTACTTTTCTAATAGTGTTGTGGAGAAATACCTGTGCAGCTGTCCATTGGCACTCACTTGGCCTTGGCCCTGTGCCAGCCCTAGGAGGGAGCATCAGAAATAAATTCAGAAACTCAAGGTTGTATTCATATAAGTAGATGGTTTCAGCAGGAGGTAATGACAGAGAAAAGAAACACTGGAGAAGGGCTGTAGCTATTTTCAGTCCTGCAATCATCACCAAAATTGATAATAAATTAAGAAGTTTGCAGACAAACCTAATGATGAGCCCACTCCCATCAGGAAACCAGAAGACAAGGAGTTAATACTTATAAACAATTCACATTTATTTCCCTTTCTTCCTGTTTCCTTCATCTCTTAGTTTCCTTATCTGTAGAGTGGGAATAAGAATAGTCCCTACCTCACAGGGTCCCTGTAAGACTTAAATGAGATAATATAAAGTGATAATGATGGTGGCCCATAACAAGTACAAAGTAAATTCCATTTTTTAAATTAGGTGAGCCATTTGTTCTTGAACTTTAGTAATTCAAAGTAAGGGGAAGGCATGCTTGGGTTATTTCAGTCACAAAATGGAACCTGAGCCTGGTTTTGAAGGAAGTGCCAACCTGACATAGCTAAAAAGGAGAAAACTTGTGGGATCCTGGTATAAAAAAGAACAAGGGATGTCCCACAGAACTTCAGCCAGGATTAACAAGAATAAAATTTACATGTCAAGGAAATTAGGAATGAAACTACCCTCTACAAGCAAGGAGTTGTGGCCGATGCATTTAGTTTTAAAATGTAATCACATGGCTGGCCACATTTTTTGTTCTGAAAAACAATCAGAGTATTGTTGTTTACCGTGATTTCAATAAAAGTCCACAGTGTGAAACGTTTCAGGGCTATTTCCAATGTTCATTTACTTATAGGCTGTAGTAACCAGAAGGCTTCCATTCATTCATTCATTTATGGAACACTTACACAGGGCCAAGTACCATGTGTGCTTGGTTTTTGAATTCCAATGATAAACAAGATAGACCTGATATCTGCCTACACAGAGGTTATAATCTCCCAGGGAATACAGACACTGAACAAAGTAATTTCAAGTGTGATAGGTGGTATTAAAGGGCAAGTCCAAGGTGCTAGGAGAGTGTAGATCATAAGAATGTGTCCTCATCATAAAAGGACAAGGAAGATTACCCTGAGGAAATGACATTAAATATGAGGCTTAAAGTAGACTTAGAATAAGGGGGAGAGATCAACCAAAGGACTTTTATGCATGCATATAAGCCTAACCA